CTCGGAGACCGAAGGGCAATATGGGTAACCATGCCCCACGTAAAGACATTAAACTTTGATTACTATTACTATTACTATTGCGCGCGAAGTTGAGAAAAAAAGACGCGCGAGTTTTTGTATATTGTAACTATAGTGTTTACTATTTTAGCAAGGCTTTCCAAATGTCCTCGCTACCTAACAGAAAAAGGAAATAAACGTTCCGCATTTCAGATATCTTAATAGATAACATTGTACGAGATGCAATGCAGTGGGATGATGAGGAGACTTGGATCACTGGCAAGAAAAAAGTACACCTGTGAACAAGTTCATACGGACAATCGATAGCTGTGGTGTTTCATTCGAATGTCATTCGAGAGAATGATAGAAATTGCTCAATTAAATAAACTAAGAGGCTAAAAATATTTACCTTGGTGCTGCTATCACTAGAATAATTAAAAAGCTTTCAGCATGGCAGCTAAAACTTCACTTTCAGTTGAAAGATCTTGCGTCAACTGATGTCAAAAGAAAACAACGTAACCTTTATACAGCTTGCGGGCCGTCGCAGCACTTTTGTGAGCGCTTGCGAGCTCTGTAAGTATGACATCTGCACCGTCACTTTATGTCGTGGTTTGATCACAATGGGTGCTCCTGAAAATGTCTAAACTTTGCAATTTGTGTTCCTTGTGCCCTTGATATGACGTCTTGGTGTCCTTTGTGACAAAATTCATTCAAAACTGATTGAGCTGACTATTTAAAGTTTATGTTCAGAGTTTTCCTTCGTTGATCCTGTTCATCATTTATCTGTTGTTGACAGACTGTATGCAAATTTGTTATGCTAGAATCTCAAAAAAAAATTTGCATAGAGGTCAAATGAGCTTGCGTGACAGTTGAATTTGTTTACAGGGTGTGGGGAAAGAAAGTATGCGGTCTCTTTCTATAATTCATTACTTTGAGGTAGCAGATTTCTCTTTAGATCACTAATAAATATATGTTTTGCTCTTTTGGGAGCATAGTAGGCAGTCCATGTTCGTAAATTTATCATACCGGTATTATATCGTTGCGATATGCAAATCATGTAAGGTAGTTCTGTCAATTAAAACAATCGAGACCTCTATTCTGTTTTGAACTGATTTGATTGAAAACTTTTGAACAACAATTGTCAAAAACAAAAGAGAAGAGACAAGGCAAAAAGACCCAATCTTGGCCACTGGGAATACCTTATCCACCCTATGACAATGTACCAATCACCATCATGAACTCTTGCTCAGCCTGGTATGCAAATTTTGTATTGCTTTGCACGCAAGGTGTATTTTTCTTTATTGTCAGAATTTTTAGGAAAAACTGTAATAACAGTATAAAGAGTACAAATGTGAAAAGTGAGCTACAAAGAATTCGCCGAAAACCAAGCTGGTTTTGATTGTGGCTGCAGCGGCAGGCTTCTCTGTTAATGATAAACCTCACGAATGAAATTAAACAGTCAAACAGTAAAATGAAGCACTTTGAAAATTCAAGAATATAATATCCAAGTTGAGGTCAGTATACTTGCATTGTTCTTTATGCTTTTTTGAGTTGCCAGGATTTCTAAACAAAAACAGTTTTGTTTTTGCTGTTATTTAAGCTTCGAATTCATTAGCCC